TTCACTGGGTACTCTGCAATACCCATTTGCTGCATTTCTCAAATTTCCATAACTATCTGCGCCATTCATCAAATGTGAGTTCGCCCGCGCCGACTGACAGCAATTGCACATAGAAATGGCAGGAATGTTTTCGAGAAGAAAAAGGCTCCAGAGTCCCAGGAGCGGGCATCAGCGGGAATTGTTGCGCTGTTTAAAATTTGTTTGGAGCAAAATGAGTGTGATTCATTGCGCACTGCAGGCTAGAAGAATCCATCAAAAATAAAAATAGTTTACATCTGTTCGACATCCATAAAGTTTCGTTTACATTGAAATGGTTTAAATCAATGCATATTTTGGTCACTTTGGAGCTCTTGATTCATTCTGTGTATGCATCGGATATAAATAAATGCGACGAATATTTATTGAAAAAGGTGTGGGAAGCCGAATATTGAATCCATAAATCTTTAGCAAGTATTACTGTTTCCTGTATTAATTTGTGGGATGTTACATTTTGGCTATAAGCCAGTACCATATAAGGACATAAAATAAAGCGTGGTGTATCCAGAAAGGATATTTTGCTGAATGACGATGAAGATGAAGATGACATTATGGGATCCAACAGAGGCATACTTATTTGCCCCGCCATATTTTTTCGCACATTAGAATTGATTTATAACGCGAGGTACCTACATTAAAAAAAAAACCGCATCCACTGAGTGCTGGTGATTACTGAATTTTAATATACCTGTCTATCGCCAACGCGTGGTTGGCACATTTTGCCAACCATTGGTTGCCAAACCATGGAAGGTCCAACACTGCAAAAATGAAGAAAAGTTATAAATGATTACCAAAACATTATTTGACTGTTGAAAATACAAAACTATCAACAGACGCTACAAAATAATTTCGAAACATGCTTTTTTTTGTATGTAATGAGGGTGTTATGAGGACTTTTTTGGAAGAGTATGTTGCCAACCACGGCTTCAATTACATGCGCTTGCGGCAGCACATACAAAATGGCGCTCGATATTTACAAACAATAGAAAGGTCTTAACGAATGAGGGCGTTCTACCTCCGCCATTTTCTGGGTTTCGAGTTTGAAAAATCCCGTTTATTGAAGCAGTGCAGTAGCTTCACTTGAATCTAAAAATTCAAGATTGAAAAAAAGTTTGTTTAATATACCCCCAAATGGGACATTACAGCACCCCAATCGTTCAGGAATAGAGCCTATTACAATGTTTACTTATCTTAACAGTTTACTCGAAATAGTACAATAGTATATGGAGATGTAACTGGTAACTTGAGTGCATTTGAGGGAAAAGATGTTGCATGCCACTTTTTTCATCATATATTATCTCAGTCAGTGAAGGTCATTCATTGCTAATAAGACATGAATCTGGGACTGAGAACCATTTCCCAATTTCCAAGTTTTGTTAGAAAATACTTTTTGAAAATGCACTCAAACTCTCCATAGACTTTGTATGTACACAACCAAAGAAGTGTCGTCAGGATACTACATTCTTTCACATTTGAGGTTGAATAACTGGTCATCATGCGATGGATCGTCAATGAGGTTAAAATATCACTGAAAAGTTCACATATGAACCAAGCCAGGATTAACACACCAGGACAAGTACCTCCAAGCTTAGCGCGCAAAATATGCTCTTGGCCCAATTTCAAGCAGCTAGCTGAAAACACATAGCAAACTTAGATGCAAAAGCAGAAATCAGCCGGGAACCAGTTACTGAGTGATAAGCATCCTGTGGCATTTTGGCTGGTTGCCTGTTTTGCTGAGCACATATTTTCATTGCTTAGTAATAACCGTTCTAAGCACTTATATTACATTAGCCCAAGTAATATTTTTATGCTTAACAGGTTCAAAATGTACTTGACATGTTTAAAGGACCTCATGTTATTAGTTACATATATACATCATCGAAAGGTCTGAATCAAAACTGCCAATCATCGAACAATTTACCCCTTAAACCCAGTTCCCTCGACACAGCCAGCAACATTAGCCAATTTGTCTCCGCTATAATTACGGAACATGCAGTCGCAGAAGGAGTGTACAGATTCCGTCTCAAGTGATGACATGTTCGTTCAACGGTTCGTAATACAAACAACCAATTAAAACTTTATCCCCCATATCGTTCCATCATCCATGTTTAATTGGCTTCCGACCAGCGCGCAGCCCGGACGGGTGTGGAGTGAGCGTGTTTGGCGGTTCATCTCCGCCGTTGATTAGCGCGTCTCTCTCGGTCGGACCCGGTCCGGCAGTACGGTCGATGACTGATGATGGCCGTTAACTCGCGATAGATATCGAGAGTGACATAGCGGGAATCGGAGAAGTTCGAGGCGATATCTAGTTCGATTTGAACCGAACCTATACTGTACAAAACACTGATCCATGTGGATTGCATGCGCATTTTTTGGTGTTTGACTTTTTTTCTGATGCTTAATCCCGAAACTTAAACTGTAAAAAAAGTGAAAGAAAACCTCCCATATATCTGATAACATGAAAGGGATCAAAATGAACCATCAATGCTTCCGACGGCAGTAAATTATTCACAAAAATTCAGTGGAGTATGAGTGATAAATATCAAGGCGAGATTTGAGGAATCTGAGCATTGATCCAGCGGTAAGCCTGCCTGGTGATCCGTCCCAAAGACGGCGCAGCTGCAAACACAATCCCCACTAAGACGCCCCCTGCTCTCGTATACTATCGTGATGTCATTCCCATCTCTTGTCGTCAATTATGTAAGGTATCATATCGAATGCTACAAAGTGTCATTAAGCATCGCGCAAGATCGCTTACTTACGAAAGCCCATTAGCGCCACTGCAAGTATATATGTTGCGGATTATTTAATTCGTTATTACGGATTATTAATTCGTTATTACGGATTACTAATTCGTTATAACGGATTATTAATTCGTTATTACGGATTATTTAATTCGTTATTACGGATTACTAATTCGTTATAACGGATTATTTAATTCGTTATTACGGATTATTAATTCGTTATTACGGATTATTAATTCGTTATTACGGATTATTAACTCGTTATTACGGATTATTAATTCGTTATTACGGATTAATTAATTCGTTATTACGGATTATTAATTCGTTATAACGGATTATTTAATTCGTTATTACGGATTACTAATTCGTTATTACGGATTATTAATTCGTTATTACGGATTATTTAATTCGTTATTACGGATTACTAATTCGTTATAACGGATTATTTAATTCGTTATTACGGATTATTAATTCGTTATTACGGACTATTTAATTCGTTATTACGGATTATTAATTCGTTATTACGAATTACTCATACGTTCTGAGTCATTACTCGACAAGTATGGCACAGGAGTGGTACCGGTGTAAAGCAAACGTTGTATGCAAAGATAGCGCCGCCTAGCGGCGCTATACATAGGCCCCTGGTCACGTGCTCTCTACGTGTGAGAACATCAGACTTAATTCGTAATAACGAATTAATAATCCGTAATAACGAATTAATAATCCGTAATAACGAATTAGTAATCCGTAATAACGAATTAGTAATCCGTAATAACGAATTAATAATCCGTAATAACGAATTAATAATCCGTAATAACGAATTAAGTAATCCGTAATAACGAATTAAATAATCCGTAATAACGAATTAGTAATCCGTAATAACGAATTAGTAATCCGTAATAACGAATTAGTAATCCGTAATAACGAATTAATAATCCGTAATAACGAATTAATAATCCGTAATAACGAATTAAGTAATCCGTAATAACGAATTAATAATCCGTAATAACGAATTACATAATCTGTAACATATATACTTGCAGTGGCGCTAATGGGCTTTCGTACTTACTCCCTGGATTAAAACGAAACTAAGTAATTAAGACACTGCATCCCAGGTAGAAATACTAGAGTGTGCCCAAAAAGTGCTGCATTCAGAAAACAAATAATGAAAACTGTTTAGTGATTTATTCTTTAATGAAATTATATATTACATTAAAACCTAACTATTTTTTAATCCACTCCTTTTTACCCCATTCCATTTGGGTCCCTAGATTCCGAAATCCAATCAATTAAGTGAAAGGGTGTACATATTATTTGGGCCACTTTCACCTGTGAAGTCACCAACTTCAGTGCGCGCCTATTCAATGCATGTATTAAAATAATGCTTAACCCAGATTCAGCATGTCCAGGTGAGAGTGGCCCAAGTATATATTTTACATCCTTTCACTTAATTGATTGTATTTCTGGATCTAGGGACCCAAATGGAATGGGGCAAAAAGGAGTGGATTGAGAAATAGTCAGGCTTAAATGTAAATGCATAATTTCCTTAAAAAAAACATTAAACTGTTTTAATCATTTGTTTTCTGAGTGTTGCATTTTTTTGGCACACTCTGTATTGAGTACTTGCGTTCGCGTGCAAAGACCAATCAGTGAGTGGCAGTGATATATAGCGTGCTCTGATTGGTCAATACAACTCAAAAGACACCAGTTAAATACACAGAATGTAACATAGTTTAAAAAACATTGTTTAAAATGTTCAATAGTTTAAAATAAAAATTGCGTTCAATATTTGATATATGCAATGATATGTAATATTCAAGCAATGAGATTGCGCGCGCAAAAGGTGCAAATTGTACGGTTTTGGGGTGTGCGTGTTTTTAAGCACACCTGATGCCCCCTTGCGTTGTGTGATTCTGTATTGGTGGTAGACTAATTGTTCCAGTCTCACAGTACGTTTTGTTTCAGGCATTATTCAGTAACAGTCAAGACTCTGTACAATATAAGACTGGCAGTTTAAACAACAATAAAGCCGTTTCTTTTAACATTTTAATGTCTGCCTTAACCATTAAACCTTAATTGAACATCCTTGCTTTCAATGCGATAGACCTGCTGTTGAACAATGCTATTATGTGAACAGCAATAATTTGGCCTGTATAAAACACCACAGCGCAATGCTTGTTTTGAGAGTGATTATCGATTTCTTTTATTTTTGGCGCCTAATTTCATTCCACAGGGTGTTCAGCATCGGACGCTGAAGGTCGCCTCCACGACCATCTGTTCCTCAACAGCAGCTACAACACACGCCCTCTACCGGTGGTCAACGCACTCGATATCCTGACTGTGTACTTCGATTTGGCGGTGACCCAGATAGTTGATGTGGTGAGTTTAATACAAAGTAATGACGCCCCGTCCACAATGTCACGCTGGCCAATGGATAGGACTAGCGCTGAATAAAGCGCGTGGCCTCATTTAATTGGCCATCGTCAATCATGTCTGGTTCCCAGACGTCGTGCTTACGGTACACACGTCATAATGAATGATGCTGGCCGATTATTTTTCCCTCTCGTGAAATTATCTGTACAATTTTAAGAGACATTGTTTCCCCAAACAATTAATATTTTCGCCAGTCCAAGCACTGACTCAAAGCAGACAACCTTTGAAAACAAAAACCTAGAAAAGTTCAGCAAATTGAAGCAAATACTCGTTGACCAAAATTTGCGACTTACTCAAATACATGTAAACAAAAACAGACAGAGATGACTGGCATTATGTATGTACAATCGTGTTTAAGGCATTGCATTCATTCTGAAATGCATACCATTCGGAAACCAATTTGACATTTGCATGTATTCAATTAAAATGAACATGTAATCAATGAATAAAATATTCCAAGACTAAGTAATGCTAGTGTTCAGACTCAGTAATATGTTTTAACAAAAACATATTTTTTTTGCATACAGGATGAGAAAAACCAGGTCTTCACGTCGAAAGTATGGATGAAACAGGTACGTGAGTTTCGTCGACACTACTGACCATAAAGTGTGGCTGGGCTTGGCAATAATTACAAAATGTCTGAGAAAGAGATAATATAAAACGGTTCACTGTTTGATATTTTCTTGAAAATGGTTTATTTTTACATGTCTTAGAATTTTTACATTTTTGTGAACTCATCATTAGTCTTTATTTGTTTTGGTATTTGAAAGGTTTGGAGAGATCCCAAGCTGTGGTGGAACCCGGATGACTTTGCCGGGATAAAGAATATCAAGGTTCCAACGTGGAAGATATGGATTCCAGACATCCTCATCTATAACAAGTGAGTGACAGTAAACTGTATTGGTCTTTTTCTGGGTGACGGACAGGCTCTCTGGCTGGCTTGATTGATTGAGTGGTCCGTTGGTTGCAGGCTAGCAGGCTGGCTAGCTGGCTGCCACCCTGCAAGCTAAAAGGATGGCTGAGTGACTGATGGATTAACAGTTGCTGGTTGGATGACTGGTTAGCTCGTGGGCTCATGACAGGTTTGGTTAACTGGCTTGACTTGTTGGCTGGTTGATATTGACCAACAGGCTGACTGACTCCAGTGCCTGGTTGTTTGACTGACTGGTTGACTGATTAGATCAGGTTGGCTGATTAGATTTTAGTGACTGGTCTGTTTGCTGGTTGGTTGGCTGGTCGATTGATTAGTAACGTTTGACTAACTGGCCAACTCCTCTATAGGCTCAGCTCCCACCATCGGCCGGTTAAAAAAAAACCAGCTGGCAGGCTCCTCAGTTTTATTGGCTGATGACTGGTAGAATGGTTCATTCATAGAGCGATGGGACCCTAGGTTGCCTATATGGTTCACTGAACTGACTCACTCTGGCTGGTAACATGTATCAATAATGACTGGCTTTTTTATATAACTTCTTTATATTTTACTTTCACATCAGTGCCGACGGACCTTTCGGAATCAACTCCAAGACGTGGGCGAACATCGGCTTCAACGGCACAGTGACCTGGTTCCCTCCCATCGTCTACCGGAGCTCCTGCCGCATCAACGTCCGCTACTACCCCTTCGACGAGCAGAACTGCACCATGAAGTTCGGCTCCTGGACCTACGACGGGGACGTGCTGGACTTGGTGCCGCTGAAACAAGAGGCCGGCCGGAAAGACTACTGGGAGAACGGGGAGTGGGTGATGAAGGATTCCCCGTGCTTTCGCAACGTCAAGAAGTACCTGTGCTGTGATTCCACCTATATCGATGTCACCTGCCATTTCATCCTGCGCCGTAAGCCACTGTATTACTTCGCCTACCTGTTGATGCCCTGCGGACTCATCTCCTTCAATACCGTCTTAGTCTTCTACCTGCCTCCGGACATCAGCGAGAAGATGGCGCTTTGTACATCGGTGCTGCTGTCCATGGCCGTGTTCCTTCTCTTGGTGACCCAGCAGATCCCGGCCAACGCCACTGACTTTCCTCTCATCGTCAAGTACTTGCTCTTCACGATGGTCGTGGTGTCCTCCTCCATCGTCTTCACTGTCTTCATTCTGAACATCCGGTTCCGGTCGCCGGAGACCCACACCATGCCCAAGTGGGTGCGCTGGCTCATGATTGACACCCTGCCCAAGTTCCTGGGCATGAAGCGTCCGGAGCGGTACTCGCTGCGGTACCGTACCGTGGGCGTCAGCATCACGCGCGACGCGCTGACATCCAGCTACCTGGACACCAAGAAGATCGTCATGGAGAACAAAGGCAATAACTACACAGTGCGAATGCGCAATGAACTTGAGAACGAGACTGAGACCGAGTCTGATAATGATTTGCATCAAGGTGATTGCCTAATTTGGAATGATACCCGACCGAAAACAATGCTCGATCGAGAGTCCTGTTCAACACCACTATACATGTATATTACTAGTCGTACTGAATTGCAATGATCCTAATAATTACTTTTTTGTTTCAGGTGGAATGCAACCTGTGAGATACTTACCCACAGGTCATGTAGATAACGAATGTCCGGAAGCAATGGTCATCAATAATGCTATAGAGGAAATCATGTACCTGACGTCACAGTGCGCCAATGATGAAGACGACAAAAGGGTACTGAAAACAACAAAACAGAATCCAAAATGCAATGGGGGAAACATAAAAAATGTGTACAGAAAAAAAAGTAACCACCACATTTCTATTATCAGTTCAAAACCGAGTGACCGCCAACGTACCGGCTAATACCAAACACTTCGTACCCGTGCAGCGTAAACACAGAGATTGATAATAAAGCAAATTACACCATGCCTTTTTTACAGTCAAACACTTTATTTTCAATGTAAACAAATCAAACGTCCATGTTACGAATGTAAAGGCAGCGTGTACTATCGTTAGTAATAATACCGTCAAATTTCAAATTGCTTTAAAGGTACTAGTGTCGCATAATGATTTTTCTTCTGTCATAAAAGGTTTCTGAAGAAAAACATCACATTAAAATGTACAGTGTGTCGGCTTAAAAACATCCGCTATTTACGTATGAAGATTAAACGGGACACTTTTACATGTCAATAATCCAGAGTCGTGTCTTCTTTCTTCCCCAGGAGAAGGAAGACTGGAAGTACATCGCTATGGTGGTGGATCGCATCTTCCTGATCGGCTACCTATGCGCCGTCTTCGCGGGTAATGTCGGCATCATCTTCGAGTCGCCCCACGCAAAGGAGTTCTTCTTTGGTGCGTGAGGGAACAAGTAGACCTTGCTGGAGAATGAAATCACCTTTAAAAGTCGTGCAATGGTTGTGAGCGGTAATTGTGGCCTTTGAGAGAAAAATGATATCTGATTCACTGTAAACAAAACCCGTAAAAACACTGTCCATTTCCTGACTTTTATGGCTTATTATACCGTTATTGCTCGAACCGTCCCAAGAACGAACGTGCTACGTGAATTTCCCGTAAACGTTGGTGTCCTGACGCATGCTGGGATTCACAATGCGTTTGTATAGGCATAACCCTTCACAAGACCTCACTTTTTTCAACCTTCACAACCACCTCTTGTAAAGCTGTGATTCGTATAGGCCGATATACACGTGCATGCATGCAAGGTTCGGTACGAGCGTAATACAAAGCTGATCATTGTGCTGTCAGAGCCGTAAATACTTTGATATTGCAACATGTCTGCATGCCCCACTCCGAACTTCTCTAACTGGTACCCATCCCCCTCTACCGTACCCCCCGCCACCCTGCAACTAGCCCCGACGCGACCCCACTTTCCAATACAGTACGGCAAATTACGGTCACCGTCATTGTAGGAAACCCGTAACTGACCATAATTTTACGTTTGTTGGCAACCCGTTTAACAGTGAATTTACCATAAAATTACGAAGTTTTCTTTATCCAGTGTTGGGCTATAAACTCAGCTGAAATTGATCCTCTCATACTTGCCCGTGAAGGGAATGTCACTTGCTCCGTCGGCGCGGGGTTCGTGTATCAGACGAAAGCTGTTGTTCCGTTTGTAACGTGCATTTGAATTTCAAGCCAAAATGTCTACCAGTTGAAATAGGCCAGAACGACTTCCTTCCCAAATATACAGAATTGGTAACACGAGGTCTTAAGCTGGCCTATTGAGTACGCCCATGTCATTATTCATACCAAGATGTAATCGCCAAACAGAAATTGATTTTTTTTTCATACCATTTTGTAGGCGTCGTGGACAAGCGCATCAGATACCTCGATCTCCCTTTTTGTTTCGTCTCAGGCTTGTACATAAAGCGTATATCATTTAATAATTGAACAGTTTCATCTGCTGGGCATTCGGGCTACAGGTCCTACTCAATCAATTCAATATCGTTCACTAGTAGAGCATTAGATAGTACATTTAATAAAATACTCTTTGCTGTGTGAATTTGACGTAGTTTTACAGGCGGTCTTATAGCAAGGCGAGAAAAAAGGACAGGATAATATCTTCAACTCAAAATAAGCAAAAAGTACCCAAAAAATGTCTATATTCATACATTTTATAGATAACGATAGTAGAAAATTTTGGTCAATCTGAACATCTTGAATCCTGAACTTCCATCCGCTGGATAGCTTTTCAGAAATAGAATACTCCGAGTGAGTAGATAGATTTCATACTAAACAGCATTTCATGAGTATTATCTTTTTAAACTTTAACAATTGCAAAATAATGTATAATTCAAATGTTGATACAGATTTCTATGTATATTTGATGGTTGAATTACACACACAGTCCGCTGAACAGTACTGCACAGGTTGTCAGGTTGGTCTCAAAGACGATTACTTACGATTATATAGAAGTGGCCTTGTACAGGCGGATATGGAGTGAACTGAAGCAATAGAAATAGAGCTGTATAGACATAGTCGAGTAGACATAGCTTTTGGCGGTTTAAAACTCTTCCGTCTAGATAAGCATTACTCAGAAAGCAGATAAGTTATGTACAAGTTGGGGCGAAGACCATTAGTCGACTGGGGGTCTTACGCCTGCACAGGTAAAAACGTCATCACAAAACTTCTTGATCTGGCTCCCTGCTGTGAATTATGATACGCGCGGCTGTTGGTAACCAGCGACGTAAGCGTGACCAGTGGTCCGGTTCCAAATCGACTAGAGTAGTCCAACCACCCTGCGTTCGAGTGAAGTTAATCGAACTATGGTTAACCATAGTCCTCGCACAAACTTGCTCTCAGCTTCAAGATGTTTACTGCTAGTTAGTTTCAGTACTAGACTGCTCGGCAGATATCGGGTTATGGTCTATTAGATGACCTAATTTCATAGAGTTGTATACTATACTGTCTTATTATTGTAATAAATGCTTGTAACTGGTTCGTTATAGGGGATGTTTGTTAAGCGAATTTCCAAAGCGAAACACTAGCGCCTCCAAACAATTGGGCTTGGCTGAATCGACTGGTGAAGGAACTATAGAGTTATGAAGAAAGTAGATGTGTTAAGACTGAACATTTGTATGGCATGTCTGGCAAAATTTCCAGATACATGTAATTGAAACACATTTTTGCCCCTACCCTTGACGAGTCTCAGTTGGATGATTACGCCACCAAGCCACATTTACAGAAATGCAATTTCATGAATTAATCACTTTACTCGGTAAAACAGTTGGTAATAATGAAAACTATCAGATATATCGTCAATCACAATCACAATTCCTCACTGTGCAGATTTTCAGCCTGCGGTTAATCACTTTTCACTACAACGGAGTTTTTAACTACAAACTGTACTGAATTGTTCACACAATATTATCTCCGTTTTGAAGAATTCTTCACCTATAACATCCTTGATGTTATGAACAGTATTTCAAATTATAAAAAAATTGGTATGTTAATGTCAACAACCACGGCACTGAGTGCTTGAGTAGCGTGGACAAGGCTGTTAATTGTAGAAAATATAGTTTTAAACTCTCTACATGCATATAGAAAAGATGCGTCATTGTACCTTGGACTTTTCATTTAATAAACGTGCATTCCGCACTAATTCTTTCAAAAGTTAATCCACATTGTGATTTGTGTTTGATTTATTCAGTTTTACATACAAATTTATATATTTTCCGCTTAATGTATTGAAGGAGCCGTACATGTTCCATTCATGAACAGAATTTGCCACAGGTGGGGTGTTTTTTTTCGCATTACACCTGGGATGCTGACCACTTCCGTAAACAATGCAAACATTTTGCCAACGTTTTGAAACGTTTGTAGGCCTAAACCATTAACAAAAATTGCGAACGTTTGTAACGTTGCGGGAACGGAACTGGAGCGAACTTTGTGAGTGGTATTACTCTTTTCCAGCTGCTCACTCGAACACCTTGTTGCTTTGGCTCAATTATTCGTACAGTTTTAACGAAATGTTATCTGGTGACTATACTTTAGGCGCTGCTTGGTGGCAGCAGACAACCCTACATACGCACAGCGTTACATAGCCACCACCCAGCTATGTTGATGGAGGAACAAGCACTGTATGTACATGCATATTTCTTATTTCCTTGCAATTTGCATTCATTAAGATTATAGTAGACACAATAGGATCTAGGCGCTATTTAGAGTGGGTAAACTCTTGAATTCAATCCAACATTACGCATTTCAAATGACGCCCTCCTATTGTGTCCGACATAATCTCAAAAACGTTAACGCACACTAGCTTATATCGATTACGAACATGGTTCCAAGACCAAAAGATTCTGACTTGTTTTACTAATCTTAGGTCAGGCAGCCACCAATATCACGTGACCAAAACGGGTGAAATTCCCTCCAGTTTCCGAAAATGTCCGAAGTTTACGGAATGCATTTCGTCAACACTCTCGGATAGCGCCCGGGTATTTCCGGCTATAAAATAGGTTGTATCTACCTGCAATGCCTATGAGACAAACCTATTTGTTAAAAGTTCATATATTCATTGCTTACATTAAAAAAAAACACCTAGCAATCCAATGACGACTTTGTGCATCAAGTTTGCACTCGACGTACGAGGGGCAAGGTTTGCTGCGTCATGTACTATGTTGAATCTGACGAAGGTTACCTATAAGGTATTCCAAAACTCGGCGTCGCCTCCACTTCGGCTTCGCCGGCTATTTGGGTCCCTAACATTGAAGATTCCAGTTCAACACAAGTAAATACTGTCTTACAGAAATATCAAACTATACAATATATAAAGCAAATGATTTTGTTTTTTAATTTAATCGGAACCCCAAATGCTTTTAATAATAAAGCCAGACCGGAAACGAAGCCGAGCTTTGAGAAATGGTCATCATGTTTACTTTTAGCCGTGGCGGCTAGCTGACCTACAAATTATAGTCGTTAGGGCACCGGGGAATTGTCAGGTCAGGGAACCAGACTATGTTGATCACTAGAGGTTTTTTTTTACAACAGCGCCACCAACAGGTGACTGGTAAACATTTTGTATAGAACATGGTACGACCATCTTATAATATCATTTCATTGGGCAAATTAACGGGCCTGTAACACAGTCAACCACAAGCCATGCCACAAACAGGATGAACCTCGACAAAAGAATGGCACGGTCCACTTTGCCAATTGAGCTGAGAGCGGAGAGCTTGTGATTGACTAGTGAAGACTTGATTTCAAATGCAATAAGTGCAGTGCGTATTCGACCATGCCCCTTTCAAGTGAGCATCCCTCAGAACGTTAAAACTAAGTGTGCAAACGCCTAGAGTTCTACCGCCATCAACCGTCTTATTAAAAACTTTTCCCGAGCTGATATATTATGGATTCTTCATGAAGCAGTCCTGTAGACGTTTAAAAAAAATCACCGCAAGGCCCTGACGACATGATGACGACAAGCTTGACGTCAATTACATTTGTTTTCTAAATGCTTCTAATTACTCTCACCACATCTCCCTTTCTGGTTTCCATCTCGAAGGAAACGAGACGATGAGGCTGGATTCTCATGACGCAGAATTAAATGCCTAATTCGTCCGGTTATTGGTAATAATTAAGCCCGGGGCGTGGTGCTAATTTCCTCGATCCTCGGTTTTATAACCCTGCTTTACCTTCTTACTCGTTTGTCCTTTAACCAAAGCGGGTCGGGCTCTCCCCTACGGCAGGGTGGTCGTGGTTTCTATCAAGTATCAGTGTGCTTCCAGCAAGAATATCGGATATTGCCGACAATGAAGTCGTTGCCCTCGTTTGGTTTGCATTTCAGTGCACTTACTATGCTGTGCTGTATACGCTGAAGCGCACGGGAAGGAACTAAGCGAGTTGGAAGATGCAAATCACCCAATGGACTGAGGGGTACTCAGAGCATGCTCAGGGATTAGACTAAATGCTGATTAGACAAAGGCCTCATTTTGACGTTCGTTTCGCCATCATCTGATCTGATCGAATCTTCCTGGTTCGAACAACTCGCCATTTCTCCTCGAAATATTTACAGGAGTGCATCCTTCGCAACGCCAAGAATGACAGAGCAAAGATCTATCTTTAATTTGCCCGTGCAAAATAATCATTCACGGAATTCTTGATTGTCTTTTAGTCTCCGTTGTTATTTCTAAGACAGTCCCAAAGAGATCTTTTTGGTTTTATGCCAATGCAAATTCAATGCTCATAACGAAATGAACACAATAATGGAGTGTTTTTGTCCTGAAATAGAACTGTTGTTGGACTAAAAATAGTTTTTTTTCCTGCACATTTTGGGCAAAATAAACTGAAACAAGGCAGCTCCATCCGCTTCCTTTCGAGTTTAATTAAAATATGGGCTCCGTCCGGGAAATCTTTCGCAGCTCGTTGTTGACATAATGGTAATAACAGTCATACGCGTGGTGTTGCTTCTACGTGAGAAATATCTCGCTTGGCGTGTTCGGGAAATAAACGGTGCACGGTTGTGAGGTATGCGAGGCGAACAAACGCACTTTACGTGTAAGGGCTAGGGTACCATGCGTGATAACATGCACGCATAACTTGTGCCACGCATAACTTGTGCCATAACGTGTGGCTTCATACATGAACTATCATTTTTGTGTGCACCATCTGTAAGTATATAATCAGATCATGTTGCACATCAGTGAGTCTGGGATGACGGAGCATCGACAGCAAAGAACCTTGACGGTGAAACAAAAAAAATTGATCCGTCGAATGCCGGATGGGCGACAGCGGTAATCCGCCGGTCCGCGTCCCGAGGGGCGCGTTTACGAGTTGAAAGCGCCGCCGATCCGTCCGGGTAATCCGGGGAAAACCTGCCGAGGGTCGGTCAGGAAAACTTGATGGACTCGTGCTATGGGGCGATATGTCAACAGTCTTGAAAACAAATTCCAAGACGAGGTCATCGAGGTCAAGTTGTACAAAGTTATCAGGTCAAGTTTACGCAAGTTATTAGCAGTGGCGTAACAGTGGGGCCGGGGGTGCAGAATGGCAGATTCCAACGAGATGAAGATTTTTCAGAACGCTGACAGAAGCGAAATCGGGATGGTGAGAATTGGTTTCATTTACACGGGACGAACATTTCACTTTGCAAAGGGCAAATAAAAACCTGGAATACGCGTCTGAAGTTATGGACCAATTTTCTCAGGGCTGCATGATCAAAAGTTTGTTTTCTGCAAGTGGATCCGCTGTCCATAGGCCCTATATGTCATGAAAAATGTCAGTAGAAAGCACAGCGGAAAGCGCGCAAACCTTAATTTGACAGAATATACTTATCAAGTCCAACAGCATGCGCTAGCGTAAATACAGATAATGTGAGGTATCAAAAAGCCGCCTTTCCGCATGTGCACGCGCAGTCCCTTTCGTATCTGAATCTGATTTACGCCAAGGACGAAATTGGATTGAAAACGCGCTTGTCGATGGGAGGCTAAATACGTTCGAAAGGTTAGCCCATAGGCCTTATTCATGAGTCGGCCATATTAAATTGAAAGCGAGGTAAAATCCTCATTTTTGGAACTTGCGAGTAGAAATGAAAGCAATAAAATAAAGTTAATTACAAATTAATACCAGCCTGCTCGGGTGAATAATTTAAAATTTTTGATTAAGCAAACCATAATGTTTTAAGCCACGTTGGAAACAAAAAAATGAAAGTGAGGCTTGGAACGCATAAATAGTCTGGCACCATCCCATTCAACAGTTTACAATTAATAAAATACATTCAGGGAGCACGACCAAAAAATGGCTTCCTCGTGTAAAGGTCCATTGTAGCACTATTTTGCTTATCGTTACAAACCCCAGTCATAAAATACATACGAGATGAAGGGTCTTTGATGAAACCTTCATCATTTTTTTACGGTGAGAAAATGTCCCCGCAGTAGTATATATAATTATAAAGATCACGTGTTTCGATCCAAACGTTAGGCGTTCGGGTTTGAACTTGACCTGGGTCAATGTACACCCGACACTCAGCTACGTCTGATGTGATATTAGTTTCTATAGATTCTGATTGAATCTATGACCAATAACAAAATCTGAGTGGGATGCGTCTGCTGCGTTCATATCGAAGGCGGACTGTTTAACATCTTAAAACCCGAATCTAGCGTTGCAGTCAAACCGCTTGCTTGAGGAAATTTCGTCGAATTGTCAACATAAATCAAGTTAAATCCAAATGCATTTGGCGGACTATATTAGATCATATTATATTAAAGAACAAATCAATGACCTGGTTTGTGATGGTATCTGGCGAGCATCTCACTCAAATTAATATTTCAAGGACCGAATAGAGGAGATGACCCGGAGTTCCCCCCCCCCGGTCTTTGGTTCAAATGGTCCGACTCTATCGAGTCCGATCAATTGTTTTGGACAGGCTTGAGCCCGCAGGCTACCCCCGGCCGAGTCAGGGTCACGGATTGTCCCTACCATTGCCGTAGGTAACACCGCTGCAACTTCATCAGCAGCTCCGCGCTCTATACGATGTCTACGGTATAGGTGTGAGGTGATGCTGCAATATCGTGCGCTCCATTCCCGCGGCGTGCGCTAACACAACTAACGGCCAGTGACACAGTGGCACAACACCAATGAAGGCATCACACGCGCGAGAACATGAGAGTGCATCACTGCACCA